TTTTTGTGCCTTTTAAAATATGGAAATGGGAGAGCAAGATTTGAATATACATAGCTACTGTCATTGCCAGTTCATTTAAAAAGGCCACACTGTATTTTTTTCTAACACTATACCTTTCTAAACACTGTTGAAGAAAGATAGGGATATATTTAGAAGATGGCTGTTTCAATTGCTGGCTACCAAAAAGTGATGTAACACCACTATAATTTTAAATAGGATGAGGCTTTAATGGGTCTCCTAGAGGAAAAAAAACCTATTAGTAGAAATGTACTAAACAACCTGCATTTGACAAAGTCCTAATGCAGGAAATTATTTCTAGAGTAATTTTCTAGAGAAACAAATGAAAATGTCAATTAAAGAAAAAAGTAATAGCTCTCAGCATTGTGTGTGGTTTTTTTTATTCTTAAGAGAAATGCTGGGTATGTATTTCATATTGCTTGAAAAGCTTTTTTTTTTTTTTTTTTTTCCTCTGTTGCCATAGTTCTGTGAGTTTTGGGGGGTTTGTGTTTTTTTTTCTTCTCTTCCTCTTCTGTAGCTGCTGCATGGGATTTCACTTAGACGGGAGGCTAATTTAATATTTTGATCTAACGCTTTTTCCTCTCTTATATGTTTTATTTTTCCAATCTCTTCCAGGGCATCTTCCCATTAAAAATATGTGTCCAAGAGCACACTGCTAGCATTTGTCAGCTTTGAATTCCCTAATTGTCAGATGACTGAATGGCAAACAAGTAATGAAAGCCCTGTATGTTGGGGACAGTGGGATTAGAATGGGTGCAAACTGCTCATGAGTCCTTGCTCCCTAAGAAGAGATTGCAAACCAGATCATGTAAAAAACTTCTCCAATAAAGCCCTACAAATCTTTCGGTGTTCAAAACCAAGTCAGTCTGCTGTTAGCGGTGTGAAGGTGACAGCATCAATTGTCCTTTCAAGCTGCTGTTGGAATTAACGTAAAGGTGGTGGATGTGGAAGCTGCCAGGTGGCTGCTTGCTTCTGGGTGACTAGAGCTGGAGCAACCGATTAACATGTTGGACTTTACGTGCCTGGCCTTAAAAAGGTTTCTTGTATGAGCTCTTTTTTAAGAGATGTCTTATATGTGCCTATTTTGCCCCTCTGCAGGATGTTATTTTGGTTGTGGTGCATGGCACCTGAGCCTGGCATGCTGGTAGCCTAAAGCCTGGCTTTGCATTGCCGTACCTGCCAGTGATGTCACGTCTCGTATGTCAGCACAGAGAGGAGGAGAAGGACACGCCTAGTAACTGCAGAATATTAGTGAAGTGGAAATTCCCTCTTTACAATTTCCTAATGCAAATCAGCATTTCCACACAGCGACTGTTTATCATGAATAGGTAATGTTAGGGTTTGCTTGGCAGGGAAGCTTTCTGATAACTAATGTATATGTAAATGTTTCCCTTGCTTTAAAGGATATTGCTGTGTTCAAATGGTAGTTGCAGAGAAGGCTTAATGAGAGCATTAAGGACAGACGCTAATTCACAGCGTTAACATTAGCTGAAACAATGACATGTTAGCTTCAATGGCTTGTACAATGACATACATAGACTGAGGAACTGTGCATTTTTAAGCCGTGAAATGTTTAGTTTTTAATGCTTTGTATATTTGCTTATGTTAGACGTGTCTCTAATTATTTGTTCTCATAGCAGAATAAAAACAGCTACTTGAGGATAATGCCAAAAAAGAACAGACACCAGAAAACAAGCTGCTGTGCTGAGGTAAACATTGAAACATTGAAGCAGGGTGAACACAGGACATTTGGTCTGCAGATAGTGGAAGAGACCTTCTGCCACTTGCCCATTCCCAGTATAAAATCTGATTAATTTTTAACAAGACATCAAGCACTTATTTTCTGTCTGTAATCTCCAGAAGTTGAATACTGTAGTCCTGTCAAACTATTGCCTCTCTTACAGCCCTGTCAAACTATTGCCTCTGTTGCAACTTGCAAGATTAGGTGCTGGACCCAAATGAAGTAAAGGCAAGCAGTATGCAAATGGAGTATATGCAAGGCTTGATGACCTTTTTGGAAAGAGTTGGAAGAAGCGGGTTCTTAAATTTGTTGCTTACACTGAAACTGGCCAACCGAGATTGCTCTCAAGGACTTTTTTTTTTTTTTTTCCTAGTATTTTGGGTACTTTCACAGGTTGTTCTGCTGTTCTAATATGAATTGTCCACGGCTTTTTTTTTTTTTTTTTTCCCTAGTATTTTGGTTACTTTCACAGGTTGCCCTGCTGTTCTAATATGAATTGTCCACATTTAATAAGAGTCATCAGGGGTTATCTCAGCCTTTTAGCTGCCCACAGGAAACCAAATGAGCTGTGGTCATTTGATTTCCACCCCCCTGCCTTTGTCCAACCCCTTGAGTCCACAAAAAAAAAAAAAAAAAATCTATGAGAACTTGCTTGCTTGCTGTTTCATCAGTGGTTTGAACTTCTAGTGACATCTTGCTTTAAAGTCAGTTTCATGTTGCCAGAGAGCTACAATTATCAGCCATGCTGGAGATACAAAAACAATGTCCTCAACATCAAAAGATGTTTTCTTAAATTATAATTAGAGTCTCCATGGGTGGATTGTTTCATAATTTAACATAATATGCATTATTTTTCTTTTCCTAAACAAGATGAGGCACTGTGACCTCAAGGACCTCTGCCATTTCAAATTAGTTAAGGCATTAGTATTAATTCTGAATTAGATAATTATGATAAGAGAAGTAATCAAACAAAATTTGTCATTTATGCTGGTAAAAAAGCACATTCCTATTTTATTTTTTTAACACTTTGCTTCATACAGTAATGTCCAGCAACACACAATGGTTAAAAATCCTTCCCATGATTGTTTTATATAAATGAAGATGTGTTTTCATCTGAGTTATATGATTGCATCCACTTCATATGAATGAGAAATTGGGTGGAAGTTCTGAGTGAGTTGTGATTCAAAATAATAAATGTATTGAAACAACATGCATCGCAAGGGAAATATATTTTATTTCTTTTACCACTATTTTATATTTCAGGATGACAAAAAGTTTAATACGTGTGCTAACCTAGACTACGCATGTCAAGGCAACGGCAAAATGAACAGCTGATGAAAGGCTGGACCCCCCCTTCCTGTTTCAGGCTAGAGCAGGGAATTCTTAAGTCACTGAAATGAGGCACAGGCTCAAAAAGGTCAAAGTACAACAGTGGCCATTCCCTCATTTCAGCTAATGTTGTGTTCATCAGAATGTCATCCAGGCCCCAGAGTCATAGTTACACACACAACTTGCTCACTGCTGCCATTTTCTTCTTTTTGAAAACTTGCAAAGTGAGAACCAAAATAAATGTTTTCCATATTTCAAATATAAAATTTGGAGAAATTTTTTTTTCTTCCTCTGAAGTTAATCACATTTGTTATCAAGTCTTTAAGAATATACCTGGGTTTTCTACTTTTGTAGTTCAGTAGACAATAACAGAAAGTAAGTATGATACTTAGTGATTACCTGTCCTCACAACAGGTGGGACAGAAATCGAGGCCGGAGCTGTTAGCTCCCCAAATCCGATGCAGGACAAGGCGGCATTTAACAAAAATCAGCCCAACTTTACTATCTTAGAAAACTCCAAACTGAAGACAAATCTGGTAATATTTTTACACACAAACATAACAAGATATTTGTAGAAATCACTAAATAAAGGAAGGATTTGGGATATAAAGAAACCTTTATTTTTTTTTTTTAAATTGAACTTCAGCTTTGCACTTTACCATTATTTTCATGACAAAATGCCCTAGAATTTCTTATGGAGAAATGACATTTAAAAAAGGTGAAAAAAAAAAAAAAACCAAAAAGAATTAAAATTATGCTTACATAGACATTTATTTTGTATATTATCACATTGTAACTCTGAAAATAAAATTTTAGAACACTATATACCACTTCCATTAGGATTTTCATATTAGTGGAAAGACTTTCATCCGAAGTTACGCTTCAATCTCCCAAGTTTCATATATTTAGTTAAAATTATACCTTTGAATAAACAGGCATATTTAAAAACTGTTTAAACTTTTCCTCTGTTTGGCTTTACAATACTGTAGTGGAGCAGAGAGAATATTCCATGCTCAGATTATCTCAGGTCCCTCTGCTGAACTTCTTCGGCCTTATGATTTAAACCAACTTAAAAGATTTGTCACAGAGAGACTACTCTTCCCTCTGCAGAATACAAACTAGCATCATCTCATTCTTGAAATTCTTAATTAGCTGTGATTACTAAATAGCTCCCAGATATATAAGACCAAATTTTAGAAGTAGTCAGTGGCTTAATCTAAGTACACAGATTTTTAAATCTGAACTAGTGGGTGCTTAGATCTTAGTTTTCATTTCCCAGTTGTTCCCTTGAAAATGAGGCTGTGAAAATGTTCAACTAAGCGAAACCAGGCAATGAATAAAAGCAAAATAATTTTCTTTCTTTCTGAATCAAACGTTACTTATGCTTAGGTTACTGTCAGGGACGGTAGTCCACATTTGGTCATGTCTCTGCAGGTACAGCTGTTTCACTGGTGCAGGGAAATGCTACGGAGGTAATTTTAGACCCTCACAAGCCCCACAAAGCAAGCTTGAAGGAGTGTCCTAGATAAACTGTTGTGACTAAAATGTAATGAAACTGATTCTTTAGCACTGTATTACAAGTTATGAGGGTTATCTAGAAGCTACAACTCTCACTCTTTGATACACTTTCTAATAAGGAAGTCCTATCTAGGAGCAAAGTGAAAATAGTTCTTTTCAGTTATACATTATTGTATCAGTTCTGCTATTCTTCCATATTCCTCATAGGTCTCATTTTCAAAAGGAGAAACATGTCAACCACTGTTTTGTTATTTAGGGTAATAACAATTTGAGACCTCTTCTGGGGCATGGTGCACAACCAGAAACCTGTATCTTCAGCTTAGGGAGACTTTCTGAAACTGTTTCTATTTGTATAATACAGAAAAAAAAAATCACATCATTTGATATACATAGCTTAATTTTGCTTAGCAAGCATATCTAGCAGCTCTTTCTCTATGCCTTGGCTGCTCAGTTCATTTAAACTGTAGTATCTATGAACAATCTTTTCACTGGTGACAACCACCACTCGAAGCCCATGTGTATCTTCTCCCAGCTGGCATCCTATTGCTGAGGAAACCACCATTTCCAGTCCTCTGTAGCACCCTCCAGCATTCCTGTGGTAATGTCCAGAAAATACAGCTTTAATGCCTGTTTTAAAAGAAAAAGAAAAAAGAGAGTATGTATTTAGTTAGCAGTTGCAGTTAAAAAAAAAAAAAAGATATATGTGTTTAGTTAGCAGTTGCAGTTTATAAATAAAATGTGTTTACAGTAAAAGATAGTGCTGAGGTTGTATGCTGAGGCTGACAGGGCTGTGCGGGTTGTAGAGAAAGTTCTATAGCAAGTACAGCTACAGGTGTCATGTTTACCTTCATTCTTTAATGGTTCATAAAGCGTAAAATTAAAATTAAACCATTTACCTGAACTTGCATTTAAAAAAAATAATTAATAAACACCAAGAAATAATTCTAATAGATATAATAAATAATTAGTAAAAACTGTATTCTGCTCCAGTATCTCTGTTTGGGGTTACTGGACTCTGACTTGTTTATGCTTACTGCAAGGTGTGTTTGTCATCTTGTTCCTCCTTTGGCTAGAAAGAAGGAATGCTCTAGAGGAAGCTGATTAAAATTAGAAAAAAAATTCAGTAATAGATAACTGTCTAAAGAATGATGCTACCGAAACATGAGTTGAGAGCCAACAATTGTGGCGCTGTATTTGTCAATCAACACACAGAAAATTCACTAAGGAGAGCTTAAACCTGTCTATCCAAGGCCAGTGACCTTAAAAAAAAAAAGGGGGCAAGACAAATACATAAAAAACATTAAAAGGAATATAATTTGTAATCTTTTCCCAAAGACATCAGGGGGTTATCATGGATGTAACAGAGCCAGGTACATCAAAGAAACCTAATAAACAGAAGAAGTTGTGAGTTATAATAAGGGGAAGAAAGATGAGAGCAGCCAAGAAAGGAAAGTTTGACAACCTGCAAGAGGAGTCTGGCTTGGTAATGACATGAATTAACATTTACCTAGTATGGGGTACAAACAAGTCAGGTTTATTCTGATTTCCTCTGTCTTTTGAATTACTTAAGGCTGTTCTGTTTCTTTCTTTCTTTTTTTTTTTTTTATAATAGACTATTTATATTTTGGACTGCATTGGGATAAAAAGTCACTCCATTATAAACTTGAAAAGAAATAAATACATTTGATCTGTTGCAGGAGACAACAATACGCTATATCAAAAATTTCTGAGTAGGTCACATGCAAGTATCATCCAGACTTGGTCAGGAGTAGAAGAAAAGCTAAATGGCAAGCAGCAGCAGGTAAAGAGGACAAACATACTTCATATTTAAGGCTTTATAATGTACTTTGAAATCCTTGTCTGAATTACTGTCTAACTGATTAGCCAAATGAATGTTTAAAGAAACCCAGACATTCTTCCCCCTCTCTCAGAATATGATAATTTAACAAAAAAATTATTAGGTTTGCAAATACTGTCTGGTTTTGACCAACTTCTAAAGATGATCTATATGCCAGGTCTGCTTTCCTGCTGTGCTCCTCAATAACTATGGGATTTGTGCAGAAATTTTGAAACAATTTCAAATTAAATGCAATTGTGTCATCCTTGCCTCCAAATCAGTAATTTCTACTTTTTGTGTCTTCTGCCTTGCAAAAAAAAACAAATAGGTTGGTAGAAGTTGTATTCATGACTCTGAATAGTCTTTCTGATTGTCTTTACAGGTCAAATTCCTGCTACCAAATAGATTATCTTCCCCTCCTCATTTTTGTTTTATAAATTTTAATCAAATGTTTTTATTACTACTAAATAACAAAACCTTATTTAGTCTCGTGAGTCAAAAAAGTAAAGCAAAAGACATTTTGATGATAAGTACTTATCTTTCATGTCAAAATTTGTAAAACCATTAACAACAGATTGAGAACCAAGCTTCTTCCTAGGAGAGAACGCTATCACAGACAAGTACTTCACTGCCAGGTTATGCCAGCATCCTTCACCATTCAGCCATTCTGTGCCCTGTTGACAGATACAGCTGAGCATCATAGTCAACAGCATTCGTAGTTTGTAGAAAAAAATTATTCATCAGCAGTCTTGATAATTTAAGATGGTGCATAGTTTATTTTGAATGGAAATGTGGAGTTAGTATAAATAGCTAATTTTACAAACAGGTTTTTGGGATTAATTTTTGGCATGCTCAGTCTAAGATCCTTGGATTTCAGACTCTTACAGCTTCCCGAAGCTGCATGTTATGCTATTTTATACTGTTGTGAAACAGAAGAACTACTAGACCAGGTGGATGAAAATACTGGGAATTTTGTTGTTTATAACCGAGAGCAAAATACATAAATTAATGTTATATCTTATTACAGAAAGTGTTTAGATGTCTTATTGATTTACGATACTGTTAATGACAATTGAAAAAATTTCAAACACACCTAAAGGATTTAGGTGTAATTTCTCTATTGAAACACAATAGATTGTTTGCTCCTTAATCATAATGACACTTTGATGGTTCTACATAAAACATCTGAAAATATTTTAAATTAATATTGAGTGACTCAAAAAATCACACTAAGTATTCCCTGACAACTATGACTAGATAGCAAGCAGATTATCAGAATAACTGGATACTTTATGAAACTGAATCTTTCCTATTAGTTCGCTATGTTGGCTAAAAAAATTGCTGTGCTACTAATAGAAAAATATTTTTCTGGCACTGCTCTATAGATGCTGTACCTTGCTGAACATGATTTGCGTTTATATTGAAAAAGAAACTAGCAAGCAAAGGTCTAGACAGGTGCCTGTTCCTGAGGAGGAGAGCAGGGAAGAGTGAAGCTTAGCACAGGTGGGGACAAGTGCCAGCTGCGGGGGGCCTGTGCGGTGCTCCCTGATGGCACTCCTTTCCTCTGCGCACAGCGAGGGCCTTGCTCCCCACCCCAGGCTAAAAGCTATCCTGAAATATGTGGCACTGGTAATTACCTTGTCAAGCACTGCTCTTATCGTTACAGAATAATGAGCAAGCCTGTAAAGATACACGGAGATGGACACTGTGATGACAGCACCAAACTTCATTTGTTATTTTTCATGTATTCCAGCAATCTGCCGTTCCATGCTTAGCACAAAAGGTAACACATGCTTAGTCCTGTCCCAGCGGTAGGCCAGAGAATGGGTAATTTGTGAGATACTGTAACCTTAAATGACATTTTAAAAAAAAACTAGCAACAACTGATTGTGCCTTCAGACAGCAGAAATTCTGGAAGAGAGTAGAGGCAATTTAAAGGCAGAGAGCTGCTATTAGGAACACACTGTAACTTCACCAGGAAATCCTTATTTCTCTAGCTAGAAAACCCTTCCACCCTTTCTCCTGCAGTACGTTTAGACCTCTTTCCCAGTGATTAAATTAAAAGGGAAGTAGGTGAACCTGTCTTAAGACAGTTGGCTACATCAATCTTTTCCTTTTGTGGGAGCGAGTGATTTGAAGACTGATATATATAATCTAGGTTTAAAGTATAGTTAAAAATTAAGCAGTTTGAAAAGCAAAATATGAATTATTCTGCTGTGTGGCTGGTAAAAGCTACACAGGCTTTCATATTTCAAAATCCAAACCTTTTTCAAACAGCAAATGCCTCAAGGTGGAAAACAGAGAATGAAGTTACCTTTGCATTGAGCGGTGGTATGTGGTCACTGTCAGCTACAGCTTGTCTGTTACCCTATTTTAGTTTACCAGTACCAATTCTCTTCGCCCAGTGTAACCTGCTCATCTGTCTCGTGTATGAGTTATACTTGTAAGTAAATCAGCATTGTAACTTTGAGAGCTTCCTCTGACTTTGGTGAGGGAATGTAGCAAAACAGGTTTTCTGGGTTGGTGTTTTTTTTTTTTTTTATTTATTTATTTTTTTAATCTTGGGAGAAGCCAATTAGAATACCTCAGAAGGCCATGGTGGAATATAAAAGCCGTGTGACATAATGGGCTCTCTGCAGAGATTCTGTACTTTCTAGATATTATTTGGGTCCTTAAAATCATGATATAAAGATGTTTTACAACTGATGCTACAGTCGATTGAGAGTGAGCAGTCATTTCTCAACTCCTACCACATGGCAGCTTATTACAGTGACTGCCTGACGTAACATACTTAAGGGTGGCAAGCAGGAGAACGGAGTGTTTCTGTTTCTTTCTTTCTCGTTATATGCACACCTATTCAAACCATGAGCCTGCACTTGCCTCCTCCAGCTCCCAGCACCTCTGCAGTGACAGAGCGTGCCCATCTGGAGCTGCTCACAGTGCGGCTGGGCATTCTCTGCTCTTGCTTCCCAATACAGAGAGCAAAACTGAACATTGTGGGACCGTTACCTGCGATGTCCCACTCGTTGAAGCAGCACCCATTTTGCCTTGTGGCATTGTTCTCAAAAGAGCAAGCCCTGATGGGCTAGGAGAGGATGCTGAGTAGATGAGGCTGCTTACTGCAGCCTCTAGATTAAGGCATTGTGAGGGGGACATAAGACACACTAAGCTTAATGTTACCAACTTGCTTTCAGCTTAGAGCTGCCTGTAATGGCTCCACATATGTAGCACTTATCTGTCCTTCAAGCACTTAACAAGTCACCAATCTTCTCCAGCAACATTCTAGATTCCACGCTCGGGCACGCACCTAGGATGGACCTGACTGCATCTTCGTCTTTCCCTGCAGAGTTAAGTGGCAGCTAAATGAAGTATCAAGGATTGAACATTTAGGAACTGAAAGTTTGGCCTGCTTGATTACTGCACCAGCTCGATCTGTAAAATACCCTTACCAGCTCCCAGTAAGTGACAATTCTACTACAGTAACAAGTTCTTTTCAATATTTTCCACTTTTTCTATAGGTAAGCAAAACTACTTTAGTCTATGAAAATGTTAGGAAAAAGTAACAACCATAAAACTATAGTGAGGTGTAAACACGTGACACACTTTTAGTAAGGGAAGTAAGTCCTTTGTAAAGGAAATAAGTGCTTTCTTTTCACTAAAAGCATCTGTGTTCCTGAAGTAGCATCTTCCCACCATCCAGAGAATTTAACCTTTGGAATTAAAAGAGGAACAGAAGTCAAGTCTGTCATCACATATGTAAATCAAACGCCAACATACAGTTTCAGTGTAA